ACAACATTTGAAAAGAATGATTATGAAGAAAAACTTGACTGGATATTAGCCAGTCAACCACTTCTCTCATTAATATCAAATGTCGAAACACATCCAACAATCGGTACATTATGTGGTCATACATATCACCCCGGAGCGGTTTTGAAGGAAATGTATTCGGTCAAAAAAAATTATATATTCGTGATCAGCATGATCGATTACCTATATCCCCGTCGAGATCCGAAGAGGGTACTTCTGACCATAAGCGAAAAAAATTTCGACAAAAAACAATGGTAATTCAGTATACAGAACGAAAAAAAAATTCACTCTTCGCACAGGGTTCGAACCTGTGTCACGTTATCGACGCTTCTATCCACTTAGCTATATGCGAAGTGATCTTCCTATTTCTTCTCATAAATGTTATTCCTTTCTTATCTTATCGATAAATTCCATGTATTCATATAAAATACAATGTTAATCATGAGAATCTTATTCAGTGAGTTAGAGTATAGGAACAAAATGAAGCGGTTGAATTTACAGATTGTACGTGGATATAATATTAATATTGGATGAATGAATGTATGAATATGCATTTTCATCAGAACCAGTTATAGTTTTTGATAAGTATATAGCTGAAGCTATTAGAGCAGCTGTTGGATCATATTTGCCATGGAGATTTTCAGGTGGAAGATAAGGATAATCTGTTTCGAATATTAGTCTTTCAGGAAGAAAAGGTGATCTATTTATTAACCAGTTTTCAAATCTATGAAATTTTTCAGTATTATTTCCATATGTGATGGATCCGTTAAAGCCGATGTAAGAATTCGGATACTGGTTTAAAAATAAATCAATAATATGCAAGTTCGAATTACTATTGATACAATGCCAATGAAATGAAAAATTTCTGTCAGATATTCGATTTTTAATACAATCGAATAATTTTTGATAAAGATGAGTACCACGACAATGGATAACCAGTGGGAGATGAAATCGATTGGCAAGATCAATCTGTTTTTCAAGGACAAATAATTGTTGATCAATGTTCGTCATAGCTGTTTCATCAAGTCCACATTCTCCAACTGCAACTATTTTATTTTTAGAATTTGAAACATGATGGGAAATTTCTAAATGACTTTGAAGATCATCAAGAATTTTATATACACCTTGTGGATCAAAATATTTTGGATGAATACCCATGGTAGGATATATGTGAACGTGTGGAGGAACATGGTAAGAATTCAAAACCGACCATCCATCAGGTTTGTGATTATTATTAACGAAATGATATTCACGAATAGAAGGGGTCGCTTTAAGAGCAATCAATTCAGATTGAATTTTATTAACAACTTGATTCAGATGTATATGACCATCATAAATAGGAAGATAAGGAGGAATATGAATTTTTCGTCCACATTTTTTATCACAATATGACGATAGGCTGAAAGTACACAAATTATTGACAAAGCAACGATTCATATCTGAAAAAGATTATTTACAACAGTACATGCCTAATTATAAGAGAAGGGTAAAAGATTATATACTATATATTAAAAATTTCTAAAAATGCATTTATCAATGTAGAATATATTTACAAAAGTGAACGCATTTTGAAGAAAACGAATATGTGAGTAAAAATGCCGAAATAAAACATGAGGATTATAAATGTATTTCATCATAAGCTTAACATTTCACTTATGATCTTCTGAAACTCTTGAATCGATTTTCCGTCCTAGGTAAAAATTTAGTTGCAAATCTTTTTTCAGGCTCCCAAATCATTGATTCATCTAAGTCTATGTCACTTTCATCTTCTACTTCAGCAATATCTTCTATTGGTCGATCGAATTGCCCTTCAGATTCATCATCACTATCTACCTCTTGTTGTTTTTTGTTACAAGGGTAAATGTCATCGTCATGTGATGGTTTAAATTCATTTAGAGTTTCAACGAAATCGTATAGACCTGTTCGAGCGAATTCAGCCATCGCATTTCTTTCTGCTTCTTCTTCAAAGTTCATCTCGAGCATTCGATAAAGTTTCTGAAGCATAGTAAGGAGAGGATTTTTAGCGGGATTCGTAGATGAAAAATAAATTTTAGAGAGTAGATCATTACTTTTCTCTACTCCTTGCATATTGTAATCTCCTAGGTCATTGAATTCATCAAATTCAAATAAATGATTTCCAATTATATGGATATAAGGAGTAACAGTTGTACGAAGGCCACTTTGACGAAACTCTTTTACAAATTCTAGACATAGACGTTTTAGTTGGCATTTTCGTTTTACAGAATTATGCTTAACTTCATTAAGAAGTTCTTTAAACTTATTCACAACACTTCGAGCAGATTTTGCAACTTCGTCACCTAGAATTTCTTTGTAAGGAAAGCTGTCAACAAAAAATAGATCTTGAAGATGACCAGACAGCTTTCCATGTGACGCAATAATTTTATTTTTATCATCTGTTTCTACTTGAAAGAAAAAACGATTTCCAATAGTTCTCTTGCAATGCTGATTAAGAATTTCAATTTTTTTTTCAATAATTGTTGAATGCTCACCTCCGTATTTACCAGTCCGAGAAGCGGAAGACAATATGTCTTTTAAAATAACGTCAAAGATTCGTAGTTTCATGTGTAGCGTATCCACGCAATAATCCTGGTAATCAAAAAGATCACCAAAAAGAGGTTCGCATTTATAGCCTAAATCATTATTTTTTTTAGCTAAACAAAGCCGTTGCTCGGCAAGAGATCGTGCTCGTTTAGTGAAATCATAATAGGAAGTGGGACCAACGTGAATTTTAATAGTTTTTTTACTTTTACTCTTTCCCTCTGTAGCTGTTTTCTCATAAGCAGTTTCTTCAGTTATGTGCAGATCATCTTTATGTTGCGTACAGAAGATGCAGGGATAACTGGAACTGAAGCCAGAAAGTCCAAATACGTACACGGCATTCATCAAATCACCACCTAATCTAATATGAATTTCTATATTTTTTTCTCCTACAGAAATCTGTTTTACTGATTTTATATCAGTAATAAATTCTACAGGCAGAGTATTACGTAAAAATTCAGTGTTTTCCTTTTGTACTTCAAACAGAGCCAAAGGAATAAGATTTGTCGATATTTGGCATTGGCGACCACCTTCAATGCAGTTTAAGGATATCACGACTATGTGCTTATTCCCTATAAGTGTACCGTCCATATTAAAGCGAATATTAAGCTTATCAACCTGATCAAGCTTTAGTTCATATTTTTGGGCAACAAAAATAGCAGTTCTTACTGCATATTCAAATTTGACATAGGCACTTGTCTTAGTGTACTCAATAGGAAATTTGGAGTTTGCATTTTTTCTAAGCCTTTCGATTTGTTTTAATGAGCAGAGTTTTCTTTTACTGTGAATGTACTTAAAAATAGCATTAAAAGCACTATCTGTTAGATGATAGGTATCCTTTAGATGTAATAAATCTCTTTGTTCTTTTATAATTTTATTTTGTCTCTGCATGTTTTTATTAGGTTCAACACTAATGGAATCTTCTTCATATAAACGTTTAACGCCACGGGTGTTATATGTTGGACCAATAATAGCATCGATTTCTTCATCACAGAAGGACTGAGAATCATCTATGTCACTTGGCTCATTAACTTTATTAGTCGAATCTTCTTTTTTTTCAACTTTTACAGAAATAGTTAGAAAATAACTATAGTTTAATGTCCCATCTTCAAACA